CTTGAAATTCATGACCTGGAAATATGACTCAAGTCTCCTACTAGGATGGAGTAGGATTTCAGGTGCGGTGCTAAAATGGTAGAGAGGTAGACAGAGGACTTATGAAGATTATCATAGGTATAACCTTAAAAATTTCAAACAGTGAATTGACATGATGAGATTTTCAAATGTGGAGGAAAGACTGGAGATGAGGCCAGTTGCAGTAATCCATGCAGGAAGTGATGAGGACCTGACCACATGAAGGAGAGAGTGATGTAGACACCAAATCATGGGAAGGAGGTAAAATGGCCAGGAATGCTGATTTAGATATTAAGACACACAGGGAATCATGGATAAACTCCAGGTTTCTCAGTTGGGCAGTGCATGGATTGTGATGCTGTTCACAGAGATAGGTAATAACAGAGGGCATTGTGTGTTGGAGGGAAGACAAGTGACTTCAGATTTAGACGTGTTGATGTTGAGTTTTGTTGAGATACCGAGGTGGCAATGATTGATAGATCTGGAGCTCAGGAGCAAAGCCTGGGCTAAAGAGACTGATTCAGCAGCCATCAATGTGTTGATAATAAAGTCATGCGAGTAGGTGAGATCATACAGGCATGGTGTTTATATAGTGAAAAGGGAAGGGCATTGAGGATGGAAGCCTCTGAAATACATACTTATGTAATTGCTAAAAAATAAAAGGAGTCCAAATCTGCCCTTTGCCAAGGCAGTTAGGTTAGTAGGAGCAGGCAGAACAAAATTACAATAATATAAAGTGAGAATGGGAAGTACATAATTCTTTACATTAAATCTCAGAAAATAGGATGGAAATTAATATGGAAAGTAAATTTATCAGCACAAATAGGTACCATGTCACCTAAGTAGACCAGTTATTATAAAGTTTTATAACTTCCCTGAAGAGTTCATAAGATTGTTCATAAGTTCATAAGATTTTATAAGATTGAAGAGTTCATTTAGATTTAATTATAACAGGCAGGAAACTACAGATGTTACAAGTTTCTATAGAGGTAAAATGATTGGAAGAATTGTTCCCCCTCTCAAAATTGTCATGCAATTTTATTAATAGTATCTATATAGTTATACCTGTTTAGAAGCTGAGTAATGTACTTTCTAGGTAATCTAGACCTTGTTACAAGAGTTCACTATTCTTTTCCATAAAGTCAGCATTTCTTAGAAGTTAGAAACTAATGCAACATTTTTGTAACACTTTTCAGTAGTGACCTGAAGCTTCTTAGTAAGCAAACTATACTAGTCTAGTAGTTTCACTATTTAGGAAGAAATAAGCATTTGTAAGAAGCCATTTATGCCCATGTAAATTTACCGACAGAAAATTATAACCCACTATTTTACAAGAGTCTAAGAGAAATTGATATTTAGAAGAACCTCATTTTTCAGTATTTTAGAACATATTTCAGTATCAATTCAGAAAATTTCAGTTAATCATTTACAGTAATGAGGTCCAAGCAAATGGGACACTCACACTTACATGTCACCTTTTCTGGATGCTCTGCCAAAGAATGTCACTTCCTTTGAATTATATTTCAGCCTTTGAATTATATCTCAGCAGCTTCCTTTACTTAAGTCCCCAATTTTGCCATATTGTGAAGTGAGTTTATGAAATTTATCCCATTTCATGATCAAATACATAAAAACTTAAAGAGAACTTTTGATTTCTCTATCAGGATAGACAAAACTGAGTAATTCCTAGAGATTCAACACTAGACAAATATTTCTTCAATCACACACCAACAGTGATCCTTCAACAAAAATTACTTCCTTATGGAACCTTTGTTTTCTCATCTCTAAACTGAGAATAATATCCACTTTATATAGTTGTCATGATCAACTAATTACTGAGCACAGCACGTTTTTGTTTCTCCAAATTAATAGACAGTCAATGCTAAGGTTACAAAATTTTAATTATTCTGCATTCTAAATTGGTGTTTGCATGTAGGTTGTTTTTTATATGGGTCTGAACTAATATGAACTATACTTTTATAAATTATAAAGAAATGATTCTGCCTTTTTGATTTTTTAAATTCTGTGCAGTTATAGCTTATCATGAGTTTTGGAAGTTGAAATAATAATTGCAAATAATGTTGTATGTGTTTCATAAGAAATGCCCTAAATAATCCCAGCCTTTAGATAGAAAAGAATACCATATACTATATAAGTTATGCTTAATTTATTTTAATAATTTTCCAACAGCTGTAAGCATTTTTAAATATTCAAAGGTCACTAAAGATTTTACTTAGTAATAAATGAAATACCTGTTACTCTGAATAGATGACAATATTAACCTAGGACTAAATAAATATATAGTTATAAAGGAGAGACTTACTGAGCTTTGGTAAGCTTGTTTAGATCACTCTAATTCCATTGCAGTGAGATGTTCTATTCAGAATGATAAAAACAATATTATTCTGAGTTCTTGGAAATACACAAGTGAAATGAGAGGTTATGCCAGTATTACTGAACAATATATTCAGAAAAATATTTTAAGCTGAAAGTATTTTATGACATGAAAACAGGACTTTGGCAGTGTTCTAACTTGTCAGGTCTTTATAAACCTCATATATCCTAGCATACAAAAGAACTCATAAAATTTCCAGTTTATGCAAAGATGTTGGTGTTCAACCATCTTTGTTCTGTTTTGTTGTTGAATCAGCAGCAGCAGCCTCTTAGCTGAATACAGCTCCAAGTGGGCGGGGGCTTGGTCTTAACATTGCTCTGCCTCTGACACAACAGAACATGACATGTATTCATGCTCCACAAAGGTGGTCTGAATGAATGAATAGCATACTTGCATGTTCGGCACTTAACATGTATGAGATCATTCAATCCTCATAACTTCTTGAAGTATGTACTATTATTTCCCCCTGGTTTATAGATGAAGAAACTAAGGCAGAGATAGTATTTGCTCACTGACACAGGTAGAAAGTAGTGGAGCTAAAATTAGAAATCAGGTATTCTGTTTCCAGAACTCATACTTTTAACTATTATACTGTATTTCCTTTTATAATTAAGATCTAAATCCTGTGTTTAGATGAAGACTTTTAGATCTTAATCATTAATGAGATAATGACTATAAATACAAATATGTCATTGTGTATATGTATGTACGCTAATACTGGGTGTAGTTTTAATAAATATACTTCCCTGTTTTCATATTTTTGCTGCTATTCCACTTCAGGTTATTTCTAGTATATAGAAATAAACTTTATGTTTTTATGTTGACCATGTATCCTGCAACTTGCTAAATTCATTTATTAGTTCTAGTACCTTTTTTGTAGATTCCATTGGGTTTTCTATATGGACAGATCATACTTTCTGTGAATAAAGACAGTTTTATTTGTTTTTGTTTTTATTTGTTTTATTTGTTATATTTTATTTGTTATTTGTTTTTCAATCTAGGTTGTTTTTTCTTGTTTTACTTCAATGGATAGAGCTTTCAGTACAATGTTGAATAGAAGTGGTAAGAACAGACATCTATGTCTTGTTCCTGATCTTAGGGGGAAAACATTCACTCTTTCACCATTAAGTATGATGTTAGCTGTAAACTTTTCAAAGAAGCCCGTATCAGATTGAGGCAATTTCCTACTTCTTACATTACTGTGAGTTTTAATTAGAATGGTAGCTTTTATTAATGGTGTTAATGTATTAATGGTGTTAATATATTAATGGTAGCTTTGTGAAATAGGACAGACTGGAAGGAACAAGTTCAGGCTGTTGTGGGAGAGGTGGGGTGGAAGAGAGGCATCAAGAGATCTGATTTAGACTTAGTGAAGAATTTGAATGATAGTTGACTCAAATATTTTGTTCTCTGGGTACATTTTCCATGTTTACTTAAATTATCCAGGAAATTTACTCACTTTGTGAAGTTTTCCTATCTTACAAAGCCACTATATAGGAAATAGTATAGAAGACGCAATGCTTGACAACTACCTTAGCACATAATTTTCTATTAAACATATGAAATTGTAATATACTAGGAAATAGGAGAAAAAAATGTGTGAATCTTCTTGTTCTAAAGGCATTGATGTAAAGTGATGAGACTCCGGATACACTTTATGTTAACAAAGCTTATAGAGAAATAGTCTATAGGTATTATATGCAATGTGAGTAACCAAGATGAGCTTCCTTAATAAGATCAAAACAGAAAATTCTAGAATTATTTAGTTTGATGCTCTTCTTTGAAGTTCTTTGTATATAAATCAGATATTTGAGGCAACTCAAAAAGATTGTTCCCAGAATCCCAGATCTCCTTTAAGACAGACCATGATACTAAGTTCAGCCCAAGTAGAACTGATAAAATCTTTCTGGTGTTCTTTGTAATAACTCCAGAAACTGACTAACTTCCTGGAGTACAGGGATTGGATCTCTGATTTGGGAAAATGATACACTAGAGGGGAACCACTAAACCACTACGCTCTCCCAGAAGATAAGTCTCAGAGTCTGGCTATTAGACTGATCTCTTTCCTGAGCAGAGTAAGCCTCCAAGTCACGTTAAAAATCTTCCAGGCCTAAACTAAGTAGAATCACAATAGAATATATCAAGAAATAAGAGAGTTTGAACTTATGTTTTTATTAAATAAAAAGTAATAAGTATTTAATATGAGCAGTCCTGAGTGGACGGGGACCTTATTTGTGTCACTTATCACTATATTACCAGCATAAGCATAGTGTGGGTACTCTATTTTCCTACATGAAAATGTAAACTAATGAAACTTCACATTAGAAAGTGTGGCTTATTAGTGATTTTTTAAAAAACGTTTCTTCACTAGAGGGTGCTGTGTAAGCATTCAGTTCTATAAATGTCATCTTCACATTTACTTATTTGCTGAAGACTGGATTTTGAAATCACCTGATTTGTTAAAAGCTTTTCTTTTCCGTTGCTTTCAAAATGATACTGATAGTATTGTGTATGGTAAGATTCATTTAATTGAGTAGCTGTTAATGGAAGCACTAACACAAATGTGTCTTTCCTTCCTCCTCTTTAGGAGACTGATGACTCCAGTCATGTATGCTGCACGAAACGGCCACCCTCACGTTGTTGCTCTCCTTGTTGCTCATGGAGCAGAAGTTAATGCCCAGGATGAGAACGGTTACACTGTGAGAATTGATTGTACTGTGTTCCTTTCTATTTCTGAGACATTGATATCTTGTCATTATTACCAGTAGTACACAAAAAAAGTTTTAAGAAGTAAAAATTACAGAAGGGTTAAAATATAACTGATGTTTAAAGGAAAGTAACAACTGAAATAGAAAAAAAAAAGAATTGTCTGACTCTGTTGTTCTTCACCCTTGACACAAGAAGCTGTAACACAACAAAGACAGACCTCTAGAATACACACACACAGTTATTTTCTATAGGTAACAGTTCAGCAGTTGGTAGATAAATTTTTTTATCCTATAACATCACTTACTATGTAAAACATTATTTGGATTTTATAAAATTAGTGAGCACTGGCACTCTGTCTTGAAATTACAACTTTGGAAATAGGTTTACATTATATGGTGAAATGAAGAAATTTCATCATTCCATTAATTAACTATGTTCACTTTTTTATTGTGCCATAAATACTGTTTAAAAGTTTTCTATCTCATATGTACACCCTCTCTCTAAACAATCTCCTTTTTCCCCTACTTACAGGCTTTGATGTGGGCAGCACATCAGGGTCATAAGAAGGTAGTTTTGAAGTTGCTTGAACTTGGAGCTAATAAAGTGGTACAAACCAAAGATGGAAAGACAGCAAGTGAGATTGCAAAAAGAAATAAACATCTAGAGGTATCCTACATAGTAAACTAGTTTTTCTATGGCATACACATTATCATTTGTAGAACTTTTGTATTATTTTGTTAAAATTCACAACTGTAATAATAGTATATCTGGCTATTATTGTTTAAATATGTAATTTTTCTCCAGTCACGTAATGAAGATTTTATTTTAGATAGAGTATATCTTTCACTAAATAAGAGGCATTTATAATATGGTAACTTAAAAGCTATATAAAGGGATAATAAAGTCTTATTCTGGCCCTAGAAATAAAATTGTAATAGACTATTTACTTAAACATTTCAAACTGGTCCAGATTTTTAAGTTAGTTTTTTAAGAAAGCTAGTAAAATTTCAAAATCTAACATGTAATTAAAATGTTTTCTAATTTTAATTAATATATATTAGTTTGAAAAATAAATCCTTTAAGCTACATTTACTGCTATGCATGTGACAAGGCATATAATAAAGTGTTAACATAGTTGAGTAGATGATCTGTCATTCAGATGTTAAACAGTAATAAATACGTGTCAAACCTTAAATTACTTTATTGATAAAAACTTTTGGTCTGAATATTAAAGCTTTGGCCAAAGGCCTGTAATTTCTAAGCAAGGATTTAATAGTATAATTGTAATACTAAGTTTTATAGTTCAGGAGCTTCTAAAATGTTTTCTGAATTTGAAAGCATGTGACATTCCAAAGGTTCCCTCATATGATAATCAGACCAAACCACTTTTACTGCACATAATCTCCTTTTTTTAAAAGCAATCTGATAACCTGCCATTTTCTAACTCAAATCTACATTTCCAAAATTATTAGAGTGAATGCTAATCACTAAAGCCCTGTGAAACACCATAAAGAAATGTACAATTTCTAAGTTTTGAAAATGTTAGATTTTAAATCTAAGAAATTTCACCACATTGAGGTGTACAGTTTAGTCAGGCTTATTATTCCCTCCCTACTTAACAATGTATTTAAAGTATCACCTTAGTACTTAATCTTTCTGAGGCATTTACCAAAATGGAATTTTAGTTTTGTCTTATATCTTACTAAAAATACTGTTACTGTCTTTAATTTTTACCATTTTGAACTAGATGCACTTTTTTTTCTCATTATTTTTCCAGATCAAGGAAATTTTTACTTGATTTTATAAATGTTATTCTCAGGGTGGTAAGGTGTGAAAGTTCTATCGCTCAGAAAAATTGCAAAAATTTCCCCTCTAGATATAAAATAATGATATGTTAAGTTTCTTTTAAGTATGAGGGATAGTATATAACACTGTTAACTGTATTTGAATGGTTAACTTTTTTCAGATCTTCAACTTTCTTTCTTTGACTATAAATCCATTGGAAGGAAAGCTTCAGCAGCTAACTAAAGAAGAGACTATTTGTAAACTATTGACAACAGATTCTGATAGAGAAAAAGATAATCTATTTAGGTAACAACATGTTTTTGTTCGACAGATACCTATAATGAGTAAAAATTGTTCATGTTTTTATTACTTACAGGAAATGTGATAACTTATTTAAAATATCTGACATTTTAAACTTTTATAAGCATTTTTGAATACCACTTAGAAATCTCTGGATTTTAAGTGCTCTAGTCTCTAGAATTTTAGAAAGTTGTTACATATATGTGCTAGCAGTAATGAGAATAATTTTGGGCTTTAAAATAACAGTAAGATTTATTTTTAAAAAGTTCTAAGATTGTATTTTTGCTAGTGTCCAACCTAGAGTACATCTTGCTTTCTAATTCTTTTTTAGCAGATTTCTGATTATATAATTTTTCCCCTGAACACAGTTGTTCAGTACAGTACAGCCACAAAATTATTCTCTACTTACCCACATTTAAAATTGTTACTTAATTTTTACTTCCTGCAGTTAAAGAGATTTTCATGTACAGAGATTTCACAAGGAATATACATATTGGCAGATATTTTCATTCTTAGAAAAGATGAGCTACATTTTACTATCACCATTTCTTCTATATCTTCACTAAAGAAACCTTACTTATTACTTTGATGTAACAGATCTGGTATATAAATTTGCAGATATATTCTACATAGATTCAGCCTTATTCTCATTCTCTCTCTGCATTATAAATACATATTGCTTGTACATGTATAATTTTTTTTGAAATTCACATTGCTATAAATATATGTAGTTCATATACAGAATTTGGAGATCTGGAAATATTTTTACATGGTCTTGGACTTGAACACATCACAGATTTATTAAAGGTAAGATTTTGTGTAAGTTACAATAAGTTATGCTTGTTGTTTGTTGGTTAGCATTAGAGTAAATATTAATCATAAGCATGCTCGAAGAAGTGCCAAAGTACTTTTCTCTATAATATGTAGTACTTCCCATTTTAAACTTAAAAGCATTTCAAATGTATTATTCTAGAAATTTACATATATAAGAATCTGGTTGCATTAAACAGCTTTTATCTACTGCCTAAAGCTTCACAAAACTCCTCATACGCCTTAATTTATTTTTGCAGTTGCTTATCTTCCTTTATAGTCTATTAGATGAGGCATGATTATAAGCTAAACAAATCTGGTATCAGACTCCTGCTTTAGATTATTAAGTGAATATGCTACTTAAAATCTTTTTCATAAAGATGATAACAGCTGATGTGGTGTTGCTATCAGGATTAAATTAGATCGTATGCTGAGCACTTGTACAGGTGTTTTAGGCATGCATTAAAGGATTTGAATAGGTGACAGTTATCAGCCATTTAGCTGATAGGAAACAGTAAAGCAATATTTAAGATAGCATGTCCTTAGGAAAATGCACATTCTTTTAGGTAGTTCAGAATTGGGCTTCACTATACAATCTTCACTATACTACTATTTTGAGAAATACTGAGTAAAACTAAATGTTATTGTTTGTTTAATATAACATAATTAGAAATTTAAAATAGTCATAAAACATAATTTCAGTCAAATTTCTTTTCATGTAAGCAAATTTAAGTTGTAATCATTTTCTCTGAATCTGGAAAACTAGCTATATTTATATTCTTTTAGGTAACTATACATATTAAAACATGCATTACTGTCTCCCCAGTATAGTTCTATCCCTGCATGTCCTATCTCCTCTAGAAAACTGACAGTTACTTAGGGGTATAGCATATAATTGACTAACGTATGTACACTTGCCTACTTCCCCTTCTATTTTACTTACATTGATAGGTGGTGCTTTTTCCTTTTTTACAGGAAAGGGATATAACTTTAAGACACCTTTTGACCATGAGGAAAGATGAGTTTACAAAAGTTAGTATCAAATTCAAAAACTCCAGAACTTACCTTCCGTGTTTCTTAAAATGTAGATCCTTTTAGTTTTTTTATTTTAAAAATCCTAGAGCTACAGACTATGAGTAATCTTTTGCTAAGTTCTTGGTTAGACACGATTATAGATAACCATGTCTAAAATATTCTGTTGCAATATTAAGTTGCTTTAATTACACTTAAAGAGTTGTTTTTTGTATTCTTCAGATTAGATATGACACCTCAACCAAAACTGGTGCTTCATTTCTAAATGTGAAATACATTCGTAAACAGATTACTTAGAAATAAGTGATAGTATTTTTGTGTATGTGGGTATGAATATGTGTCATCCAAATACTGCATTTCACTGAGTTCATAAAAAGATCAAGACATATTATTTTGCCATCTAATATTATTAAGTAACAATTTGAAAATAGCAGGAAACATTAGAGATAACTGAATAAACAGGATAGCTAAAAAGTAATCATCTTCCTCCATAAACACATTGGAAACTTGAAATCGTTAGTATTACTAAAAATCAAAATAAACGTACTACTTAGCTAAATCCAGGATAGATAATTTAGTTAATACTAAAGATAGAATACAGACAAAAAGATGACATAATTCTAACTTAATCACTGATAAATTTTTAAGTAGTATTTTGAAGGAAAAACAGTTTTGCTGTGGCTTTTTTGGAAAGATTATATATTACAATCTAGTAATTAGTTTTTAGAATACATAATTGTTATTATTGTATTCTACAATTGTATTGAATACATAATTGTATTACATAATTGTAATTATGTAGAATACATAATTGTATTCTACAATTGTATTGAATACATAATTGTATTACAAAAAAAATGACTCCAGTCACTAAATATTTTAATGATGTAACCTTGTCAGTCACATTTGTAAGCAAACCATATATTTTTATTATATTTACTTTTCCAATATGTATGTTTTTTTAAGATGTGAATTAATAAAGTAGAACACTTATTTAGTAATTCTGAATATTAAATTATTCAAGCATGACTATCTTATTACACCTTAAAATTATTCCTACTTAGAATGGAATTACTGGTAAAGATCAGCAGAAAATTCTGGCTGCTCTTAAAGAAATAGAGGTAGAAGAGATAAACTTTGGAGAATTACCTGAAGTGGCAAAGTTGGAAATCAGGTAAAATTAACTTATTGGTTTGCATTAATATTCTTTAGAATCAACTGTTGCTTTTTAGTTTACTTCTGATAATGTCTGATTGATAGCATCACTTTCCCAAGGAAATGCATAGTTCATTTTGCAATATACTGTGTTCTGAAATGAGAGATACTTTATAAAGTTAATTTTTATAAACTTGTCTTACCAAGAACCAAAACAGTACATTTTTTTGTTAACTCACATAGAAACCTTTTTTTTTATTGTATTTTGCTAAAGGAACTATATAAGAGATCCCATGCTTTTCACTGTATAGCTTTTATTCACTTTAAATCATTTTAAGCATCAAATTGAAAATTCAAAGTAGTAATATTTTCACTTAGGGCAAATGAAAGTGTTTCTCACATACCTCAGCCCTATTTTCAGCCTTATTCTTTAAGAAATTATGTCATCAATATAGAAAGTTAATTTTCAGTATTATAAACTTGTCAAGCACTGATCATTAGTAACATAAGTAATCTAATATGTACTTTCGAAATGGCATTTGATTTATTAATATATTATGGAGCAGTAAATTATTTTCTTAACTCTTTATTTAAAATAATTATAGACTCAGAGGAAATTGCAGAGATGTACAGGGAGGTCCCATGCATCCTTCACCCAATCTCACCTAGAGCTACTGTCTTGCATAACTGTAGTACAGTATCAAAACCAGAGAACTGACTTAGGTACCGTCTACATCACTTATTTGTATTTCACCAGTTATACATCTCCTCATTTATATGTATGTGTAGAGAGCTCCGTGCAGTTTTATCACGTGTAACTTCATGTATCCACTGCCACAGTATACTTAACATACCATTACCACAGGCTCCTTCATACTACCTTTTTATACCCACACCCATCCCTCTCACCACTCCCAGCCCCTAGCAACCAACGATGTTATCCATCACTTCAAGGATGTTTTCATGAATGTTATGCAAATAGAATCACACAGTATGTATCCTTTTTTGATTAGCTTTTTTCAGTCAGCCTAATTTCCTTGAGGCTTTTCTAAGTAATATCCTATCAAATAAAATACAAATGAAGCACTATCATCACGAGTGTAGCCTGCCCAAAACTAATATTGCAACTATGATAAATATTAATCAAACACATGAATAATAGATTTCCACACCATTTTAAAAAGAGTTCCAGGGGATAATTTAGATAATACAGATTTCTTTAAAAACTTTATTGCAAAGTTAAATTGTTTCTTTAAACAAATCTGGTATCAGACTCCTGCTTTAGATTATTAAGTGAATATGCTACTTAAAATCTTTTTCATAAAGATGATAACAGCTGATGTGGTGTTGCTATCAGGATTAAATTAGATCGTATGCTGAGCACTTGTACAGGTGTTTTAGGCATGCATTAAAGGATTTGAATAGGTGACAGTTATCAGCCATTTAGCTGATAGGAAACAGTAAAGCAATATTTAAGATAGCATGTCCTTAGGAAAATGCACATTCTTTTAGGTAGTTCAGAATTGGGCTTCACTATACAATCTTCACTATACTACTATTTTGAGAAATACTGAGTAAAACTAAATGTTATTGTTTGTTTAATATAACATAATTAGAAATTTAAAATAGTCATAAAACATAATTTCAGTCAAATTTCTTTTCATGTAAGCAAATTTAAGTTGTAATCATTTTCTCTGAATCTGGAAAACTAGCTATATTTATATTCTTTTAGGTAACTATACATATTAAAACATGCATTACTGTCTCCCCAGTATAGTTCTATCCCTGCATGTCCTATCTCCTCTAGAAAACTGACAGTTACTTAGGGGTATAGCATATAATTGACTAACGTATGTACACTTGCCTACTTCCCCTTCTATTTTACTTACATTGATAGGTGGTGCTTTTTCCTTTTTTACAGGAAAGGGATATAACTTTAAGACACCTTTTGACCATGAGGAAAGATGAGTTTACAAAAGTTAGTATCAAATTCAAAAACTCCAGAACTTACCTTCCGTGTTTCTTAAAATGTAGATCCTTTTAGTTTTTTTATTTTAAAAATCCTAGAGCTACAGACTATGAGTAATCTTTTGCTAAGTTCTTGGTTAGACACGATTATAGATAACCATGTCTAAAATATTCTGTTGCAATATTAAGTTGCTTTAATTACACTTAAAGAGTTGTTTTTTGTATTCTTCAGATTAGATATGACACCTCAACCAAAACTGGTGCTTCATTTCTAAATGTGAAATACATTCGTAAACAGATTACTTAGAAATAAGTGATAGTATTTTTGTGTATGTGGGTATGAATATGTGTCATCCAAATACTGCATTTCACTGAGTTCATAAAAAGATCAAGACATATTATTTTGCCATCTAATATTATTAAGTAACAATTTGAAAATAGCAGGAAACATTAGAGATAACTGAATAAACAGGATAGCTAAAAAGTAATCATCTTCCTCCATAAACACATTGGAAACTTGAAATCGTTAGTATTACTAAAAATCAAAATAAACGTACTACTTAGCTAAATCCAGGATAGATAATTTAGTTAATACTAAAGATAGAATACAGACAAAAAGATGACATAATTCTAACTTAATCACTGATAAATTTTTAAGTAGTATTTTGAAGGAAAAACAGTTTTGCTGTGGCTTTTTTGGAAAGATTATATATTACAATCTAGTAATTAGTTTTTAGAATACATAATTGTTATTATTGTATTCTACAATTGTATTGAATACATAATTGTATTACATAATTGTAATTATGTAGAATACATAATTGTATTCTACAATTGTATTGAATACATAATTGTATTACAAAAAAAATGACTCCAGTCACTAAATATTTTAATGATGTAACCTTGTCAGTCACATTTGTAAGCAAACCATATATTTTTATTATATTTACTTTTCCAATATGTATGTTTTTTTAAGATGTGAATTAATAAAGTAGAACACTTATTTAGTAATTCTGAATATTAAATTATTCAAGCATGACTATCTTATTACACCTTAAAATTATTCCTACTTAGAATGGAATTACTGGTAAAGATCAGCAGAAAATTCTGGCTGCTCTTAAAGAAATAGAGGTAGAAGAGATAAACTTTGGAGAATTACCTGAAGTGGCAAAGTTGGAAATCAGGTAAAATTAACTTATTGGTTTGCATTAATATTCTTTAGAATCAACTGTTGCTTTTTAGTTTACTTCTGATAATGTCTGATTGATAGCATCACTTTCCCAAGGAAATGCATAGTTCATTTTGCAATATACTGTGTTCTGAAATGAGAGATACTTTATAAAGTTAATTTTTATAAACTTGTCTTACCAAGAACCAAAACAGTACATTTTTTTGTTAACTCACATAGAAACCTTTTTTTTTATTGTATTTTGCTAAAGGAACTATATAAGAGATCCCATGCTTTTCACTGTATAGCTTTTATTCACTTTAAATCATTTTAAGCATCAAATTGAAAATTCAAAGTAGTAATATTTTCACTTAGGGCAAATGAAAGTGTTTCTCACATACCTCAGCCCTATTTTCAGCCTTATTCTTTAAGAAATTATGTCATCAATATAGAAAGTTAATTTTCAGTATTATAAACTTGTCAAGCACTGATCATTAGTAACATAAGTAATCTAATATGTACTTTCGAAATGGCATTTGATTTATTAATATATTATGGAGCAGTAAATTATTTTCTTAACTCTTTATTTAAAATAATTATAGACTCAGAGGAAATTGCAGAGATGTACAGGGAGGTCCCATGCATCCTTCACCCAATCTCACCTAGAGCTACTGTCTTGCATAACTGTAGTACAGTATCAAAACCAGAGAACTGACTTAGGTACCGTCTACATCACTTATTTGTATTTCACCAGTTATACATCTCCTCATTTATATGTATGTGTAGAGAGCTCCGTGCAGTTTTATCACGTGTAACTTCATGTATCCACTGCCACAGTATACTTAACATACCATTACCACAGGCTCCTTCATACTACCTTTTTATACCCACACCCATCCCTCTCACCACTCCCAGCCCCTAGCAACCAACGATGTTATCCATCACTTCAAGGATGTTTTCATGAATGTTATGCAAATAGAATCACACAGTATGTATCCTTTTTTGATTAGCTTTTTTCAGTCAGCCTAATTTCCTTGAGGCTTTTCTAAGTAATATCCTATCAAATAAAATACAAATGCAGCACTATCATCACGAGTGTAGCCTGCCCAAAACTAATATTGCAACTATGATAAATATTAATCAAACACATGAATAATAGATTTCCACACCATTTTAAAAAGAGTTCCAGGGGATAATTTAGATAATACAGATTTCTTTAAAAACTTTATTGCAAAGTTAAATTGTTTCTCTTTCTCTTAATATATTTCCTTATAACAAGGTGGTCTATATTCAAAATAATACCTCATCATTTCAAAATAACATTGGAGCTCTTAAATATTTAAATGTATCTTAAAGGAGTTCAGTTATGAGGACTCAAAATCAGCAAACCTTCCTGAATCTCGTAATTTTCTTTACTTTTTTTATTTATTGTTTCTATGAAGGAACATTCTAAGTTCTATATAACTCAACTGCAAATTAACTCTTCTAATATAACTTATTTGTATGATGGCAGAGTTGCTGGTATGAAATTACTTTGTGGGATTTAATAGACTTAAAGAATGTGCACAATCCTGAATGGTTCACTTATTAAAACTGCTGAATTTTTTATAAAGTAAAACTGGAAGACATATATTTCAGGAATTTGACCTTGTTATTAAATCACAGACTTTGTTTACATGCTGTTATGGAAAAGATTTTACTTCCATTTGTTCAAAGTCATTCTTTAAAGAAGAAATTACTCATTAAGTCATAAGAAAACTAACAGCAGGAAAAGTTGAACTGATTGATTATAATCTGGTAATTTGGCTTCAACAATTTAGCTACTAATTTATTGTAAGGTACTTTTCTTCTATGTGTTAAATTTTCTAAAATAGCCTGTTATA